AATTTTATGTCTTATAGGGTTTGTACTGAGTACAATATTGTATAACTGTAATAATTCGATTGTAAACCTAAAAATTTACAGTCAATTTTGAAAGAGATGCATCTTAGCTCTGGAAATTTTTATTGAATATGTCAATGCTGTTGTAATGAAATGCTTCTTCTAAGTATGTGGTTATTAAATAAATAATTTTTAAAAAAGAAAAATCATGAAAAATAAAATAAAATTTAAAAAACTAAAAATAACACATCATTTACAAGACCTCTCAATAAGAGCATTACTTATAAATGTATATATCACCCACTCAGCCCAGTACTGGAAAACTAATGAGTTAATAAAAACATTTCCATGAGAAGGAATCCCCCACAACTATGAACTATGGATTTGCTACTATTAGAAAAAAAGGCAAGTACAGAATTATCAAAGAGCTACAGAAATGAAACCATAATCTGGATAAACTCTGTGATCTAAGTTCAGGAAGCTTATTTTTAATCCATCAGTTCAATGATGCTCTGAGTTATTTCTCAAGGAGGCTGAAAAAAGAACATACAAGCTGGGCATAGTGGCACAAGCCTTTAGTCCCAGCACTCAGGAGGCAGAGACAGGTAGATCTCTGTGAGTTCAAGGCCATCTTGGTCTACATAGTAAGTTCCAAGCCAGCTGAGGCTACAGGGAGACCCCTGTCTCAAAGAACCACAAAATAAATTTTAAAAAGAAAATACACAAGATGAATAATGTTTTCTACCCCTCACAATGTCTAAAATTTATACCTTCATAATCAAACATACTAGATTTAAGTGAAATCCTAGGAAATGTTACATCTAAACATTAACAGAATAACACAAAGGCAAACACCTGTGACGTGTGTGTCTTAGCAAGAGGAGAGGTGCATGCTTCTTGAAACTGATCTTCATTAATTCCAATTTCTTTAAGGTAACTTTCCAACAGCTTTTCAACCTAAAAAGAAAAAGTTTAACTTTTGTAATTTATACTAAAATATTCTAAATGATAGTTTGCTTAGTAAGTGCTAAACATATAGTTTAGAAAACTATAATCGAATGCTTTTTGAAAATATATACATAATATTATGCAATGCATGGACAACAATGTCTTTCACCATATAAACTACAAAGAAATTATTTTATAAAATTTTATTTCCTCTACTAGAAGAAAGGATTATAAAGTTTAACGTAGTCCAACTCTTCTACTCAGAGGTTTTAAAAGACTCCTATGACACCCTAACTAAGGGGAACACACACACTTCCTAGAGGCATCAGCTGAATAAGAATAACATTTAAAGTTTAGATGAAACATCCTCCAAGCTGTAGTAAAAGCATCACTCAGATTCTAGAATAGAAAATATATAAAATCATTGTAACACATACACAGAGAACTGATGAGGTCTCATAACTGTTAGCATTATTGAAGTAGAGTAGACGTTTGTGAAGTTAAAGAATTTAGTGGAAAAAAGTTCAGCTTTTAAATTTAGAAAGGCAACAAGTGTTACTATCCTAACTGCCTCTTAAAAACAGTGAAAGAAATACTCACTAGTTCTTTGTATTCTTGATGAATCTCTGTATAGGTCAACTTGCTTTCTTCCTCATCATCGAAAACTAAATTTATAAAAAAATAGGACAGTGTAAAAAAAATCATCTCATTAAATACAAATATAAAAATCTTACAAATTGCCCTATTGTTCTGATACTCTAGCTCTTCAGATTTGAATTCCTAAGATTTTTTTCCTTTAAAAAATGGTGTTTATATACACATAGCATTAATTGTACAACTTTTTGTCTCCTATTCAAGAAAATACCTTATAACTAAGATTAAGATCAACTGTCACTTTTTTTCTTTCCTGCTCTTTCCTTTCTTTTCTTCCTGTATGTGTGTCTGTTTGTTACTTTCTTCAAAATGGGGTCTCACTATCTGGCTCAGGCTGATCTGGAACGTCTGAACTCAAGGAATCCTCCTTACTCCAGCCTCTTAAGCAACTGTGATTAGATGTGTGGTGGATACAACCAGTGCCACTTTTTGAACAATAAGAGAAGGCAACGATTTCTTCATAATTGATTTCTTCATAAATCCTTTTACAAGTCTCAAAATTATTTTATCGTACTGGAACTGTGCTGATGCAAATTTACAGAAAGTGATTAGGCCACTTTTGTTATAAATAACAAAGTCAAAATAAATAAAATCAAAAAATAATGTTTACTGATTGGTTATAAGTAGGAAATAATGGATTTTAAAGAGATAATATATTCTCTGAAGAACCTAACAATCTTGTTAGAAAAACAGGAAATACTGATGACTTATAAAAATAAACATCTTTTTCATACCCCCAGGATGATCTTCCTAAAATGCAAAATTAACTTCATAATTTTCAGTTTAAATCCCTTCAACAACTATTCATTGTAAGTGCAAATCCTTAGAAAGACAGACAAAACTCTCCAAGGTTGAACCCTAAGTCTCATCTTCCACAACTCCAAATCCAAATCTTGCCCTACTAACAGTACAGAACTACCTGGAGCACATCCACCGAGCACACTCAGCTTCAATCCTGTGTCTCTCTCTGCTCAGGACTTTCCTTGTGTCTTTTACCTATGCCTGAACCCCTTTCCCCATCCAATGATTCAAAGATGCTGTCACATGGTATGTTCATCTGCCATACATTCTACCTCTTAGGTTAGATCATAATACACAGCACATGTGCCTACCTTGTTACAACACCTGCCACTTTACATTTATCTATTTCTATGGGTGTGTATGTGTGTGTGTGTGTGTGTGTGCACGCGCGCATGTGTGTGGACAAGGGTGTGAAGGTCAGAGGACAACTTGCAGGAATTAGTTCTCTCCTTCTATGATGTTGGTTCCAGGCTCTGACTCATGTCAAGTTTACTGGCAAATAAATGCCCTTGCCCCCTGAGCCATCTCACCAGCCCCTTAATCTTTTTTACAATTATTTAATTGCACTTGTATATTTTGCTGTTTACTTGTGTGTCTTCTCTCACTGGACCATAAACTTCTCAAGTATATGGTTTCTATCCCCAGTTTCTGGTCCAAGGTAACTCAATAAATGTTGAAATGTTGATGCCATGAAGTTATATAAAACTAACTTTACATTCTCTAAAGTGAAACAGTACATTGACAGTACCAAGTCAGTGAAGAATAAACAGTTACTTCTTTTTTTGGTCATTTTGAAGACAGGGTCTCCCTGTAGTCACAGCTGGCCTGGATTCACTATGGAGACCACAGTGGCTAAAATGCCATGACTGGCCTAAAATGCAAAGATTGGCTTGCCTCTGCCTCTGAATGCTGGAAATAACACCCAGCTTATAAACAATTATTTCAAGTGTCACTGACAGGTAGCTTCTATTTACTGTGTTTGCTGTTGTAACACCGTTCATACATTCAATAAAAAATACTTAAACCTTTTGGGTCATTCTGAAACCACTTTACTATAGTGTATATTTGTAAGCCTGAGGTTTGCTCCTCTGTAAAAGTGCACAATCATGTTATTCCTAAGATGTAGCCACTTCTAACACTTGGGGATAAAAAGATGAACCATGAGGGGTTTTTTTTGTTGTTGGTGTTTGTCCATTCAGCATTGTTTCAGTAGGGGTAAAACATAATTTCTTCTTTCTTCTAAAAGAGATCAGGATTCTACATGCTCCTCAGTCTTATAATAGTGTTTTAAATTCTTAAGAGGAATACAAATAAGTTACTTTCTTTTTTGAACCTCCTTTAAATTACCTGCAAAAACAACACTTAACTAGTATCTGATTTTCGATCATAACAAAGAAAATATAATTAAAAGTTTCAGTGATCAAATGAAAGGCCTTCTTTACTAGATTCATGGAACCTTAGGGTCTAGAGAAGTCTTAAAAGATTAGTTAAGACAATGAACCATTTGTTAGTTGACTCTGGCAACATCTCCATTAAGTCACTCTTGAATAATGTGAATGCCTGGGAATTCCGGTCCTTTTTCAGGCAGGCCAACTCATTCTGGACACGCTGTTATGAAGCATTTCCTTCACTGAAATTTGTTTCCCTGCAGCTTGTCCTCCCTCACTCCAGAGCTCTAGGCCACTGATCCTTACACGTATGTCTAATCCCTCTAACGTGACAGACATTCAAATGATAAATGGATACTGCTACCGTCTAAGCATTGCCTACGTAAATAATCACGATAAACGTTGTATATGACATAGTTTGTGGTTCCTTTTCTAAGAATGGGGTCCAATTTGTCCACGAAATGAATTCAAAACTCCAAGTGTGAACAGAGGAGAAAGGGCGGTGCCTATCCATTAAAAGCAGTCGTATGCCGCATTTGTATGCCTCGCTTTTAAGAACATCCTGCCTCCCAACCCCCAACCCCATCATTCGCTCTGGTCCTGCTAGAAGAATCACATGTCCTCCTTTGCAGATGAAATGGCCGGAGTGAATATTTGTCATTTCCTAGACTGTCTCCATACCAAGGGTCAGAAGGAACCCCAGGCAAAAAGCCGCTTCTCCCAAGTAACTGGAAGATGCTGAAGAAGCCTACTCAAGGACACCGCCTGCGCGGGGCAGAAACGTGCGGGACGAAGTGACAGACCGCACACAGGACTCAAATCTAAGTGCTCAAGTATAAGGTGCCTGGGCCGGGGTAGGGGTTTCTTGGTCCCTACTTCCAGATCCACGAAGAAAACTCCGCCGGGGAGTGGATGTGATTCCTACTACAGAACCAGCCCTAAGCCTGGTGGACAGAGACCGAGGAGAAAAAGACGCATGGTGTGCGAGCCGAGAAAGCGTCGTCGGCTACGGCTCTGGGTTTTACCTTCGCATTTCTGCTCCACGAAGTCCAAGATGGGGATGGACCAGTCGGGGCTCTGCAGGAATCCCGCGATGCTCTCCACCACCCACTCCACCTCGTCCTCTTCTTCCGCAGCCATCCCGCCCGCACCGGGCGACAAGGATGCCTAGGCCAGACTCCCGGGACTGCCGAGCTCCCTCGGCCGCAGGGAGCCGACTACGAACGCGAGAGCGGCCCCGGCAGTGGCCAGGCTGGGTTTGAAAACTACAAACCAGCAAAATGGTCGCTATGACAACGTGTTCAGCCGCCTCCGGCTGCGGCCCGGAAGTGAAGTCTGAGTCCCTGGCCTGCGCACCTGGAGGGTTCTGGGCTAAAGAGAGTTTCCTGTTGGCTGGGAAAGAACAGTAGATCACAAGGCGGCCGTGCGCTCATTGGCTCACTGGCCCGGGGTTGCTAGGCTGAGTGCAGAAGTGTCGGCGTCTGCCCGGAAGAATCTCAGCGGTCCCTCTTCTGAGGGCGGCCGAGCTCAGGCTTAAAATGGCGCGCCGAAGGTAGTGCTGCCTTAGACGATGTCATTCCATTTCACTTCCGTCCATTTTCAGACCCGCTGGCCTAGGAGCGTTTGTAATCAAAGGACTGTCTGAAAATACACAGCTGGGCAAAGTAGCTCTGAGGTTTATCAGTTGGCTTTGCAGTAGGTTTGCTTGATGTAGTTCCAAGGATGGGTCTTTATTTAACCTCTAGGCTTAGGTAGAGATAACTAAAATTAGAACCTTTTCAAGAGCAAAATCAAAGTTAATAGTCACTTGTTTGTATTTGTGTGTGTGGTGTCTATGTAT